AGAAGTCGTAACGCACAACAACAACGACAGCGACAACAACGACAACCACAACAACAACAACAGCAGCAGCAGCTGCTGCAGCAGCAGCAGCAGCAGCGGCAGCAGCAACAGCAACAGCAACAGCAACAGCAACAGCAACAGCAACAGCAACAGCAACAGCAACAGCAACAGCAACAGCAACAGCAACAGCAACAGCAACAACCGCGATAGCGAGAAATCAACCACCACGACAATCACAACAGCAACAGCAACAGCAACAACAACAGCAGAAGCAAAACACCACACCAGCAGCAGCAACATCAACAGCAACAACCACGATAGTGACAGCATCAACCACCACGATAATCACAACACCAACAGCAACAGCAACACCAACAGCAACAACAGCAGCAGAAGCAAAACACCCACAGCAACAACAGCAGCAGCAGCAGCAACAGCAAAAGCAACAGCAACAACAACGACAACAGCGACAGCAACGATCCTCAACACCATCCCATCCCCGAGTTTCATTTTCGGAAATCATTTTCATCATGACATCACCATCATCATCATCTTCTTCTTCCTTGCCGTCACGATCACCACAACCGCCACCAGCACCATTGTTGACATATCAACCATCCGGGCGGCAACAGCAGGAATTTCGTGTTTTAGATAGCTACAGCGGCCGTTCCCGGCTATTGTTTGTTTTTTGTTTTTTTCCCTGAGGCTGCGAACTCTCCCCAACCGATTGCAGCAGCATGGATGCTGACCCCCGGTGTTCTCCATGTTCATTTGCACTGCAAGCCTTGCTGAACTGCAGCCCAAGTCCCAAGCTTAAGCCTCTGTCCGACACCTTACAGCCTTTAGTTCCTTGGATGATACAGGACATCAGGCTGCCGGATGGCCAGGCTCTGCGCGGCGCGCTGCTGTCCCGAACTCAGGGCTCGTCATCCTGGGCTTACACAGAACGGGAGGGCATGGGAGTGGCTTTCAGTTAAGCGTCGTGCCATGCAGAGTGGGAATGTTTGATTATCAACTTTTTCTGTACACCCCATCGGTGTCATGATGCTCAGCTGGCTTCTGGTTGTTTCTGTTGCTGCTGCTGCTGCTGCTTCTGGTGCTGGGTCACCTGCATCCGGGCAGCTATAACTTTTCTGCTTGTGGGCTGGCGCACGGCCTAGGTTTGTCGCTGCATCGATTCAATCGTCACGTCGTTGATCCTTTCTATCAGCCTGGCAGGCGAGAGAACGGCATCCGCGTGGGTCATGCAGCCCCTCCCGTTTGGCCAAGCACTAAGCTTGTGAAGGAGATCCAGTCGCTTCATGAAGGTTCAAAATGGTCGTTGTTGCCGTCGCAATCGAAAGCCTTGGCTGATCTTGCTTTGCTTTGCCTTGGGGTTTGACAAGCAATCTCGGTGAGTTTTTTGTCATCCTAGCATCCAGGCTTCGTATGCTGATACTTCCGTGTTTACAACTGAAATGGAGCTTGCAGCTCAAAAGCTCTATGCAGGGCCTTGCATGGAAGCCTACCGCCCAACCCCTCGTCTCAGTCGTCGTGGTTCTGAAGTCCCCAACTGCCAGGCTGAAAGCCTTCGCAACCCCCATCAACAGCCTCATCGGTCGAGACCTTTGCGGTGAGCCGCTGCCTCAGGGTCTCAGGGAGTGCTACGAATTCGCTGTCCATGGTTAGCGCATGCTTGAACCGGCGTGGACTGGGCTTCGCGGACATCACCCGCTGCAGCTCAGCAGCTCCATTTTTTCACAATGGCTTAAGTAGAATCCTTTGAAACTCCGAACCGTATACCTTGACCTGGCGGACACTTCCCAGGTTCCAGCTGACCACCGGCATCGGCTTGATCTTGGACTCTGCACCACCCGGGCAGCTGTTAGGGGAGGCTTGGTGAGCGCTTCAGTGCAAGAAACACTGGGTTCCGGTCTTGGCGTCTTGAAGTTTGGAGGCGACCCGGAGTTACGTGCCAAACGTGCAGTGCAGGGATGTGATAACCTCACCCGACCACGCTTATTTACATCTTATTTACTGCTGGCGAGATGAGCATGAAGCATGGTAAGAGATTCGGGTGCTGCTTAATGTTGGGTTGCGTTGATCGACGATTCGGAAGATGACCGTCCTTAGCGTGTCAGTCTTTGCGCCAGGTCTGCCTGTTCTCGACAAGCACGCCAGTGTCTCAGAGTGCTTGATGCCGAAGAAGATCGGCCAAATCGTGGCGTCGTAGCACACCTCGGCCAATCCAGCAATTGCTGTGCCAACTGTCGCAACTGCACATTTCAAGCCGGACAGCTTCCATAGACACCTCTGCGGCTGCACAAGCAGACCTTCCATGGCAGGGGCGAGAGGGATGAGTTTGCTGAAAGAGTTCGATGTTCGCTTTTGGCCACGTTCCGTGTGCTATCCTTTGGACGATTCTGCCGACCATGTTCAGTTTGGCAGACCACAACCTACCGGAAAAGAACGCCCCCGCTCTTCTGCCGAGGAAAACTAGTTACAAGCCTTCCCATCCGGCTTGAGAGTGTGTCTGCAGCTTACGTTACCTACATGGATGCCTAGATACAAGAACAGTACTGAGGTGTACAAATTTCGCATCGATAGTTCTGAATACCGCTGCATCTACCACGAACCCCGTCTCGGTAAGGTTGATTGAGCGGTCGCGACCGAACAAATCTGTATTTGCCCAGGCCTTGCTGTTCCTGCATAGCTGTTCTACGACAACTCCAGCTGCGCTTCACAGAGCATGGGCCTTATGAGTCGGCGCAGACTCTAGACAGAACGTGTGCGACGTATGTGTTACGATTTTGGGCTTTTTCGTTCATTTATCACACTGAAAGCGGTTTGAACGGCGGTTTGATTAGCAATAGCCGCGATACCAGTGACTTTTTTTGCTGCTACTTCTACAGCTATGTTTGTGATCGCTACGACTGCTGTTGCTACTGCAACTGCTCTGCTTGCTGCTACTGCTACAACGGCGGCTACAGCTCCTACTGCTCCTACTGCTGCTACTGCCACTACTACACCTGCTGCCGCTGCTACTGCTGCTGCTGTTGCTACCACTGCTGCTACTACTACT